TTGTTCATTAGTTGATGGACACTTGAGAGGTTTCTACTTTTGGGCTCTTGTGAATAATGAGGCTATAAAAATTTGTATGCAAACAACAATGTAAATGTACTCAACACTACTGAACTGTCCACTTAAAAATGGTTAAAATGTTCCATTTTATGGTACATGTCTTTACCATAATAAAAAAAAGAAGAAAAAAATTTATGGAAAGTCCATGTGATAGACTATTATATAGCCATTTAATATTATATTTCAAAAACCTATATAATAACATAAAAGATGCTTATGATATAATCTTGAGTTAAAATGGTACAAAAATCATAAATATTATTTCAAATATATAAAAATGTATAGAAATACTCATAAAGGTGTTTGTTTCCTTGTTAGCAGGGATTATATCTCAAGATGGTAGGATTATAAAGAGACTTTCATTTTCTTTATAATTTTTTTCAAAATTTATAAAATGGGTATGCATTGTTTTTATAATCGATGAAGAAAAACACTAGAAAGAAAAAATTGTACAAAAAGTGTTTGGCACCAACAATCTTGTTGTAACACAATATTATCTCAAAAATCCTTTCAATTAAAGAAATAATAGGGTGAATAGGTGAAGAGCATTAACAGATACAAACATCTTGTTATAAAATAAGTCACGAGGATAAAAAGTATAGCATAGAGAATATAGTCAAAAATGTAATAATGTTGGGCGCCTGGGTGGCTCAGTTGGTTAAGCGACTGCCTTCGGCTCAGGTCATGATCCTGGAGTCCCTGGATCGAGTCCCGCATCGGGCTCCCTGCTCGGCAGGGAGCCTGCTTCTGCCTCTGACCCTCCCCCCTCTCATGTGCTCTCTCTCTCTCATTCTCTCTGTCTCAAATAAATAAATAAAATCTTTATAAAAAAAAATGTAATAATGTTCTTTGGTGAGAGATATGGTGACTATACTTATCGTGATGAGCATTGCATTATATATGGTAAATATATATTATGCTATATGATACATATATATGATGCACATATATATAATGGAGAGTACTTCAAGAGAATCGTGTTCTATGGGCATAAATATATGCCACCCTCGAATGTTGGATTGGTTTTTCTAAAATGTATGTTTAGGATTTTCCCTGTTTGTATCAAGTAAATAGGAAATTTTCCATGAGAAAAATGGGAGGAAATACAGTAATTCCATTTCTTTTACTCTGTAGGAATTCTTTCTGTTTTGTGTTGCTTTACTAACCGGCCTTGGTCAGGCTTGCTATTAAACAACTTCATTTGAAAGGAAGTAGAGAATATTAAAGGAAAAAAATGCAAATTTTATAAGATCATATTCCAGGTTAGACTAGAAATTCTAGTTCAGATTAATATAAGTATATAAAATATCTGTTATTTCTGCTAAATTATAATTTAAAACTAGAGCTCAAAGAAAGTATAGCTTTTGATGTATAGGAAGTATCTAAATGTTACAATTATATAGCATCTTCTTAGTGCCTCTTTGGTTCAGGTCAAAACAAAACCTGTTTATTTAAATTGTTCAGCTTGCCCAGGCTTGATGAAAGGAATTAAGTGGTGTCAAGATAGGAATTGAAGATACAGCTGGTTTCCTCACTATTAGAGGCCTTAAGAGAAATGTTTGAGGACTTTAGTTGTGTCAGAATTTACCATGATTGAGGAGGTTTTAGCATTGTGTGTGTGTGTGTGTGTGTATGTGTGTGTGGAGGGATGGGGTGAGGGGGTGGGATAAGATGATTTCTTTTACATGCCAGGGGATTTTGCAGTTCTGGTTTAGTGTTGAGAGCAGAGTGAGGTAGAGGAAAAACAAGATTCATAGTAGCTGTTGAAAATACTAGTACATAACAGTGCATTTTATACCATGTTACCCTATATATATTTATATTCATAATTTTTTGTCTTAATCATTTTCTTTAAAAAGAAAAAGATTTATTTATTTTAGAGAGAGACTATGGGGGGAGGGGCAAAGGGAGAGAGAGAGAGAATCTTCAAGCAGATTCCCTGCTGAGTGCAGAGCCCCACACAGGCTCACGGGCTCTCACGACCCATGAGATCTTGACCTGAGCCGAAACCAAGAGTCCAACGTTTAACCAACTGAGTCACCCAGGTGCCGCATCTTAGCTGTTTTATGTAGAATTTTTTTAAATTTATACTAATATCCACTGAATACTAATAACATTCTAGCACTATATTCATAAAGCTAAGATTTTAAAATATGTGAATTAGGGTTAAAAACACTAAGGAAAACAGGAACATATCTAGGAGAAATGTTAGGGGCCCACGAAATCAAGGCCTGTATATATCATATATGACATTTTTATTTGTTTATTTGTCCCTCTTTTTTTTTTATAAAGTAGGTTCCACACCCAGAGCGAACCCAATACAGGACTGAAACTCACGACCCTGAGATCAACACCTGAGCTGAGGGGCGCCTGGGTGCCTCAACTGGTTAAGCATCTGCCTTTGGCTCAGGTCATGATCTCCAGGTCCTGGGATTGAGCCCCACATTGGGCTCCCGGCTCAGTGGGGAATCTGCCTCTCCCCCCACCAACTCGTGCTCTCTCTCTCTCTCTCAAATGAATAAATAAAATCTTTTTAAAAAAATATTTTATTTATTTATTTGACAGAGAGAGACACAGCAAGAGAGGGAACACAAGCAGGGGGAGTGGGAGAGGGAGAAGCAGGCTTCCCGCAGAGCAGGGAGCCCGATGCGGGGCTCGATCCCAGGATCCTGGGATCATGACCTGAGCCCAAGGCAGACGCTTAATAACGACTGAGCCACCTAGGCGCCCCCATTTGTCCCTCTTTTGAACTGGGAAAAGGAGATGACTTATTTTGAATACCCAGCTTTTTTTTTTTTTAAGCATATGGTTTATAAGGAAATTAATAAAGGGGAACTGTCAGAGAACCAGAATGTCATCTGTATATCTAAGGGATTATTAAATGTGCTTACAGGTTAGTAGGCAGGAGGAGCCTTGGAGATAGTATGTAAATTCCAAGTTGCTATGCATTGTTAAAATGCATAACACCTTCTAAAATACGTGAAGGTAGTGGTAAATCATTAAGCCGTGGATAGATGCTTTGGTATTTTTACCTCAAATGCAAGAAAAGCCATGCTTCCTTTTGTAGCCATGGAATTTGTCTTCTTAAATAGGACCTTGTATTTATAGTTTTTCTGACAGAAGGTTCCCAGTAAAAATTTATAATACAATAATAATAATAATTGAGAACCATTTCTGCCTTGTTTCATACTCTACTCTTTCCAAGAATGCTGAGTCACAAAATAAAATCTTAAATTAGAAAATTTTCAAAAATAGAAACAGCTTCTGAGAGAGTTTTTGAAAAGTTCAAAAGGATTTGGAGACAGTAATTTGATTCCATTTTTGTCGTTGTTTTCTTCCACCAAACAAATCTGTCTCCTAGTGGTGTTAAGTCTTGTCTGTTCATCCATACTTAGAGTGTCCTTGCATGACTGGCACCATGTGTTATTAATGGCAAACTTGGAAAATAAGTTAAATGACTTGCCTAGATCTTAAGGAAATCAGTGGGCTGTAGTAAGATACCATACACAGGGGCGCCTGGGTGGCTCAGTCGCTAGGCATCTGCCTTCGGCTCGGGTCATGATCCCAGGGTCCTGGGATCGAGCCCCGCATCGGGCTCCCTCCTCCGTGGGAAGCCTTCTTCTCCCTCTCCCACTCCCTCTGCTTGTGTTCCCTCTCTCACTGTGTCTCTCTCTGTCAAATAAATAAATAAAATCTTAAAAAAAAAAAAGACACCATACACAGCTGTGGGGGTGGGGGAGATTTTTACCCTGCCCATCTTGGTTCTTTTGACTGGTCTAATAATTAAATTGACACAAGACATTAACAGGAGAAAAAGAATTTTAATTTTGCATGTATGGAGGTCTTGTAGATATGGGCCTAAGAAATAACCAAAGCAGGTGGTTTATATACCTTTTAGAAAAAGAAACAATAAATTTGTGAAGAACTGACAAGACAAAGAAACTTAGTCCTGGGTACTAATTAGTGAAGAAATTAAACAGAGTTTGTGTACACTGACTTCTAGGCTTTGAATTCTGTCTCTGGTGATAAGGATGTTTCTTTACCTCCTGGTACAGGGAGGGCACCTTTCACATGGGAAATTTATTTCCTGCTTTCAGGGGGACAAAGAGGAGTGTCAGAATGTGCCTGCATTGGCTGTTTCTCGAGTAAACTTTACTTGAGAATTATCAGTGTGCCACTTTGACATATCTGGGAGCAGCCTGCCCTGAGCCCCTTTATAGTCTCATTCTCTCTTTCCTAGAACTATCTCCAAAAAAGAAGACAAATGTATTTGAATTTTAGGTGGAATTTAGACTCTGGGAAAAGACCTGGATTACGGTCTGTTTCTGCTGTTTAACCTTATGCGTGGACCTCCAAGTCTGTTTGTCCAGCTTCAAAGTGTGAAAAATAATAGTACCTAATTCAGAGTGTTGTTTTGAGGAATTAATAAAATAGTGCATGTAAGGTACTTCACTGTGCCTGGCCTATAGTAAGTACTCAACATACGGTTTAAAAAAAAAATCCCTGCATGCGTGAGGGTCTGTGTTCTACATCTTTTTTTTTTTTTTTTTAAGATTTATTTATTTATTTGAGGGGGGTAGGGCAGGGGGATAGGGAGAGAGAGAATCTTGAGCAGGCTCTATGCCCATGTGGGGCTTGATCTCACAAACCTGAGATCACGACCTGAGCCAAAATCAGGAGTCAGACTCTTAACTGACTGAGCCACTCTCGTGCCATACTACATCATTTTCTACTCTTTGGGTATTTCAGTCTTCTGAGGTCCTGCATTAAGGATGGCAAGTCCTCCTGCAGATGTGGGTAACATCTAGACACGGATGCTTTCCATTGGTTCCAAACAGCCCAAAGGAGTAGATACATGGAAAAGATGAAATTGATATAGTTGTAACAGAATTTTCTCTTTACATGCTTTTTTCTTTTTCGTTTTTTTTTTTTTTAAACAGTGCCTTTGAAGATGAGACCATGAAGCTTCGACAGCTGAAGCTTGATAATCAGGTAAGTAAATCAGGAGTCTCCCTCCTGTTTTGAAGTAAGTGGACAGCTATACTGACCATGATGCTGATAGTCTTGACTGTGACGTCTCGGCAGGGTCCTGGAAAAAAGGCAGAAAAGCAAAAGACTTTGATGTTACTAAGCAGTGTCTGGAGGTAGTATTTGCTGAACCAAGGCCCTGGGCTCTGCAAGACCAAAGGGAGCACAGCCATAAAACTGGCCTTGGATTTCTAATCACTGAAAATTCCTTGGCACCTTTCCTAAGAATTAGAAGAATGTTAACATTGTATTTCTATGTAGTAATTTGGTCCTGCTGCCTTACATCCCTCCCTGCACTGTAATTTCATTTAAGTACAAGATTTTTTTCTTATTCTAAAATGCAGATCTGAACATGCTGCTGGGCTGCTTAAAGCCTCAACTGCTTATAGCACAATTTTCTTCACAACACTGGGTCCTAATTTTCAACTACATATTAATTCTGTTTTTCAGTGATTTGTTTTGTGTTTGTTTCCTCCACTAGGCTAAGCACCATGAGCACAGGAGCCAAGTCTACTTGTGATGACCATTATATCAGAAGTTCCTAGCAAGGGCTGGGCACATACTAATCCTTCCCTAAATATTTGAATGAAGGAAGAAATAAATGAACAGTTGTACATCGTTATTTGCTATAATCATCATTGTTAGTCAGTTTAGAACCTATACCCAACATCTATTGCTTTCTTTTCTGCAGTTTCATATGCATGTTTTTTAATTCAGGACGTCCTATAGCTTGAGTCTACCTATGTAGGATCATTAACAAAGTGTCTAGACTCTGTAGGTGCCTAGACATACCTCTAAAGTTTTGTCTAATGTTGGAATGAATAATGGGACTTCTAGTGTAATAATTTGCTTGAAAGGTGGAATCCTTAAAAACTGGGAAAGAGGTCGCTGCGTGGCATGCAGGGATGTGCAGGGCCACCCTCTGTAGGGCGAGGCCCTGGCGGGTTGGAATGCCATGCCCGCCCCAGGAAGGCTCTGGTGCTCGCGCTCATGTATGGCCACCCCCGCATGGCACCTTCGAGGTCTTTCATGGCGATGTTGCTAATGGGCTGTCATTGCGTTCCACTGCCCCTCAAGTCACCAGCTGGTGGGCTCCCGCCTCCTCAACTGCGCCTGAAAGGGGAGCGTTGCCCAGTGGTCTTCGGGGATCCCTGTACGCAAGTCTTTGCCACCATAGGAGACCTCTGGCTTCTAGGTGGCTGTGATAGCCTCCATTGTCCTCCTCAGGCCCCTGGCCCGCCTCATGTGTGTGCAGAGAGGAGCAGCCGCCTAGGTGTGGCTCCAGACACCTAGCTCCAGACGCCTAGGTGTGGCTTAAGGGTCTAAATAACAGTATCAGTGGCCACAGCCAGTCCAGAGCCGTCTGGAGCCACCTGGCTGGGCACATGACCATCACAGCTTCTCGCCATCCCCCCCCCGCCCCGTGAGGGCCCCAGAGGGCTGGCCACTGTGGACAGGGACCCGTGGGCCCAGCCCTCTGGGCCCCAGCCGCCCCGGGCTCTCCCTGCATCCAGGTGACACACACAGGACAGAGCTTGCCTGTCCGTGGGCCCCCGCGGGAATGCCCGCATAGCCGGTGTACAGAGCCCACCCTCCACGCATCTTGGCGAGTGTCGGTGAAATCTACTTACGGGCTTAGGGTTCCCCAGGGTGCTTGGGCTCCAAAGGCTGGAGACCCTGGCGTGGGTGACCTGTCTTGGGGGAGCCTGGCAGTAGGGCTTTTTTTTTTTTTTTTTAATATTTATTTATTTGACACAGAGAGAGCACAAGCAGGGGGAGCGGCAGGCAGAGGGAGAAGCAGACTCCCCGCTGAGCAGGGAGCCCGATGCGGGACTCGATTCCAGGACCCTGGGATCATGACCTGAGCTGAAGGCAGACGCTTAACCGACTGAGCCACCCAGGCGCCCATTAGGGCTTTTTATAGATAGACTTCCTTGAAACCACTGGGGAGGTTAATATAGCAGCTGTAGGCTCCCTTCACCTGGCTTCCTTTAAAGAGACTGAGGGAGGGGCACCTGGGTGGCTCAGTCGCTTGAGCATCCAACTCTTGATTTCAGTTCAGATCATGATCTCAAGGTTGTGTGATTGAGCTCTGCTTGGAGCCAGTGCTCAGCAGACTGCTTGAGATTCTCTCTCTCCTTCTCCCTCTGCCCCTCCCCCACTGCACTCTCTCTCTCTAAAAATAAATAAATAAAATCTTTATAAAGAGACTGAGGGACATTTTAAGCAAATCTAGTTTTTCACAACCTCGCAGGAAAATGGCAACAAACTTCTAAGCAGTTATAGGTGGCTATCTCAGCATTCTTCTCCGTCAGATGGGCTGCCTCTAAGCAGGGAACCACCTAGCATTCTGCTCACATTATCTGTAAAGTTGTCAGGTGAAGGGTGTGAAATAAGCAATTCTTTCTAACACTGGAAAAAAATAAAGGTGGCTCAGATATTTGGTAATGTTTATTCTTTTCAGTGAGAATGCTGTGTGTGATAGGTATATGGTATACATGTTGGGATTTTGTAGGCCTTTTCATGGCATGGCTTTTTTAAAAATTATGTTTTTATATGGGCAATAAAAGAATATGGTAAGGATTCCAATAATACTGAAAAGGTATTTCATGGAAAGTCTCTCTTCCTCTAGTTGGCTTTTAGTTCTTTACCGGCGACTGTCACAGACTTTTTTTTTTTTTAAGATTTTATTTATTTATTTGTCAGAGAGAGAGCACAAGTGGGGGGGAGCGCCAGGCAGAGGGAGAAGCAGACTTCTGGCTGATCAGGAAGCCCCACACGGGACTGGATCCCATGACCCTGAGATCATGACCTGAGCTGAAATCAAGAGTCAGACACTTAACTGACTGAGCCACCCAGGCGCCCCTGGATTCTGTCACTGACTTCTAATGTATTCTTGCAGAGATAGTCAATGAATATAAAGATGTAAAATTTTATAGGATTTTTTTAAAATTCAAAAAAATCTTGGGACCTGACTTATAAATGAGGGTGTTAAATAGCCTGTGAGAATACCGTAAGGGCCTGAAGCACTGCCTCCGGCATAAGAAGGAGGTTGCTCAGCAGGGGGTAAGGGAATTTCCACAAATGCAAGCTGAGCATTCAAATGGCCTGAAACAAAGGCAGCGCTACAGAATGAATAAAGCATTGGGCTGGGAATCTGAAGACTCTGGTTCGGATTCTTACTCTGCCATTAATTAGCTGGGTGATTTTAGGTAAGATTCTTAAACTCTGTGGGTCCCACTATTTCATCTGTAAAGTGAGGTCAGATTGGATAACATAATAGAATGTGGGGATCTGGGGGCACCTGGGTGGCTCAGTCGTTAAATGTCTGCCTTTGGCTCAGGTCATGATCCCAGGGTCCTGGGATCGAGCTCCGCATCAGGCTCCCTGCTCAGAGGGAAGTCTGTTTTCCCTCTCCCACTCCCTTTACTTGTGTTCCCTCTCTCTCTGTGTCTCTTTCTGTCAAATAAATAAAATCTTTAAAAAGAAAAAAGAAAAGAAATATTATTTGTAAATATTTTCTTCAATTCTATGGGTTGTCTTTTTACTTTCTTGATGGTATCATTTTCAGCATAGAGTTTTGATTTATTTTTTCTTTTGTCTCTTGCACTTTTGGTGTCATATCTAAGAAACCATGCCTGCCTAAAGTTATAAAGACTTGCTCCTGTGTTTTCTTCTAAGAGTCTTACACTTCCTATGATTTGTTCTGAGTTAATTTTTATATATGGTGTGAGATGAGGTTCCAACTTCATTCTTTTGCATGTGGATATCCAGTTGTCCCAGCACCATTTATTGAAAAGATACTCTTTCTCACTGGGTATATTTTGCTTTTATTTTTACTAGTTTCATTAGGGTACTCTTTTTTCAGGGTATGTGAACAGCTTAGCTGGCTACAGGTCGTAAAGATTTTTAGACTCCCAACAGTGATGTGGACGCAGATGCACATTAGGTGGAGAACATTTATGCCATCTGGTGGACAATGGATTAAAATACAAGATAGTCCTTTTGGGTCAGGTTGCCCATCTATTTGTACCTATCATTCTAAGAGAGGTGGTCATTGGTGTACTAAATTGATATTTTAAGAAGTGTGATTTTAAAATTTTAGCCTTATCTTCTTATGATCTCACTTTGTATGCCAGGAAGATTATTTTTAGCCAAACTATTAGATCTCAGGCAGCCATTCTGATCTTGCTGGTTGTACCTTATGGTCAGCCAGTCTATCCCAGGAACGTCAAACTGTAACCAGCCCACCAGCTCTAGGGAGTCTTTGTGGAAAACTGAGAATCAGTGATGTCAGGCTCTCATTAATTTGAGGCTTGCCTGAGCTTTATTATTTTATAAAATGAAGCCCTTTGTCAGAATCCCTGCCCCCCCCCCCCCACCTAATCTCCTTTATTTCCTCACTTATTTTGGAATTACCATTCATTTTGCTCCCAGGGAATGATAATAGGATGTCCATCACATTCTGGAGAAGATGGGATTCTTTGAGTTATTGTTCAGTTTCCGAGGGTATTGTGAAACTTAAAGACTTATGTGACACTTAAAAACAGTCCTGAAAGCAACATATTTTGATTGCATTTAGGGCATCAAACCGTCACCTGCGGCTCTCTTCCTGACTTGCCCATCCTTTAACGTTGTTTATGCAGCCTCCTTGACAGCTTTTTAGGGACGGTAAACCATAAATGAAATATGAATTGACATTGTTTTATTGAAGCTCAATTAACACCTACCTTCTCCCTCCTCCAAACTATGTGAGGATGATTAGAATGCTAAATCAGGTGACACTTTTCACCAAGATGGCAATTTGGTAGATATTTTATGACTGTGTTCTTGTTTACAAACTTGGACAATTGTGGGATATATTTAGTGCTGTAATATAGTAGCTGTAGCCCTGGAGTTCACAGCTCAAATCTACAGTTGTTTGTTTGTTGTTTTCCCTCAAGTTGTTGATCTAAATGAGTTTGACTGGTGTTGAAATTGATAGAGAAAGGCTTCACCAGGTACATTCACAGGATCACTGTGGCTGAGAGTCTAGTCTGCCCTTTACAGGTCTAAAAACTTGGTTTTGTCAGTGAACCTAAATGTAACCAGGTCCTTTGGCACAAACTCACAACAGTCAGTCATGAAACTGGACACTAATTTATTAATTTACAATGAGAACTCCAGCTTTTCCAGTATACATTCGTCTCTGCTGGTCATGATTCCCTGTTCCCGGAAATATGATACCTAAGAAGTTAATTGACAATTAGAAGGCTGATTGGTAAGCAGGGAATCAGGAAATGAAATTAGTAGTCCCGAGGGACATTTCATCAAGGCCAAAACTATATATCTTACATAGTTTCCTGTCCACAAAGAGAATAAGCTCTCCCAGTAAATAGAATACTCTGGTCTACTAGATTCAGCATTTCTCTGTTTTTGGACAGGTTGGATAAACTCTGCCAAATTCTTGTTCTTTGGCTCCCCTTTTCTGGACCAATACCCCTTTTCTTTTCTTTTCTTTTTTCTTATATGTCTTTCTTTCTCTCTTTCTTTCTTTCTCTCTTCCTTTCTTCTTTCTTTCCTTTTTTCTTTCTTTCTGAGAGGGAGGGAGGGAGAAAGTATGAGTAGGGGGAGGGGCAGAGGGAGAGAGAGAATTTTTTTTTTTTT